CTGCGCATAAATTTAAAAAAATATTTGTTAAATTGAACTTTTGTTATTACCTGAAATACTAGATCAATTTAAACTCAATTGGATGTGCGGTGATGGTTACTTATTAACAGCATTCACATATGCAATATTCAATTACGATGATGTTATATGTGTTTACAATATTTTATTAAATTTTTTGAAAAATTTTTTAATTTAATTAACCAAGTTTAACTATAAGTTTGTAAAGGTGTAAAGATCCATTGGCTCTGGCCATGGACTAGGGATATAAAGGGTTTCAACAAAAGTGCCAGGTGGATCAAGATGATCACCTAAGAAGACGATTATGGATTAAAGTACGATTAAAAACAGGGAGGGCGGAAATGGTAGAAGAATAAGAAGGAGAAAAATATAGGGAATAGTTAAACGAGATGAAGAAAGAGATTAAAATAAGGAGGAGTAAGATAATGATAAAAAGACATACTAGAAAAGACGGGAGGATAAAAAATGAAGAATTAATAAAAATGGAAAATGGGCGAGTTAGGAATCATAAGTTCTTTAAATTCATGACATAATGTCATATTCGAATTCATCAATAATCATAATTCCTGTTTTATTTTGTGGTGCTTTAGCAAGCTTCCAATGATGGTTGTAAGATTACCAAATAATTTTAGATAATTCAGTAAAAAATAATGTAGAATAAGGTAAAATAGGCGAAGAGGGAGAGGGAGGTAGTAGGATGAGAAGGAGCAGCTTAAAAGGGTAGAAGGTACAGCAGCAGAAGGGGTAATAATAAGAAAGAGGGATGGAAGAAAGGAAATGAAGAAGAAGGTCGTCATGGCGCGACAACAGCACTTATAGCTCCTTGAACACGAACTTGTTCTTTGAGATATCGTTTAAAAAAACTTATAAGATAAATGTTGTTTAAATCTTACTTTCTTCGTTATGAAAAATTTATTTTTTTCAAAAAGACAAATTACACATACCTCTACAGTTTTGAAGTTTGGAATAAAGGGGTAATAAAATTGAGTTCTCTTTTTTTTATTCTCCGTTTGATAATCAAAGGTCTCTTGAAGGCTTTATATCAAAAAATCAAATATTTCTTCATACAAATACAACTGCCATTTGACATTAACTAACAAATAAAAATTTAAATAGTATTTCTTCGCCTTTTAGATTATTCAAGGAATCCTTTAAGATATTGTTGAACAAGCCATTTTCCTTTTAAAACCAACAATAAATGGTTATGTAACGTTGATTATGTAAGGTTGTTCCACCAGACACAATAATGATTGGTAATGGAAAGTCGATATTCAAATCAAAATAATTTTTTTTTAACAATTGATTTGTCGTTGTCAATAATAATTAGCTCGAATCGATCGAAATACCGAAAAATAAAAAAGTTATCTGATTAGGTGATGTGGCTAATGTTTAGTACTTGCTAAATTTAGAAATAATAAGTATGTCTATTATTATATAACAACAATCTAATTCTTTATAAAAATTTACGTTGTTATAATTTTAAAGTGCTTTTTTTTTAAAAAAAAGTCGGTCGTGATTTTGACAAGGTATTGTTGTAACGGGTTTCCATGTTGAAATATAAATTGTTTGCTCGTTGTCCCCGGGATGTTCAATTCTATAGACAAGTATTATCCCTTTCTTCTTCTAGGTCGTCCCTTTAATACTTTGACTCTTAAGAATTGACTCCTCGTTCAATAGTACTTTGATTTTAAAAATCTAAGTTGTTTTTTTTTTTTTTATCACTTTATAGTTCCAAAATTTTTATCATGTTGCTGAATTTCTGAACGTACTTGCAAAGTAGTGCTTTTTGTAAAGGTATTGTCGTAACTATAAATATTGTTTACTATTTAACTTAAAATTAATGATTTTGATTTTAAAATTTAATAACAAATGACCACTTTGTATTCATAGGATCTAAAAGCGAATACAATCTGGATTTTGAAATTAGGTGAGTTTTGTACTTAATTTATGCGTAAAAAGGCCAATTTCGCGTGCTAGCGAGGTTATGTTTGCATAACGAAAACTCCTAAAACCTTAATAATGGTTGAATAGCTCTTAATTATTTTCCTTTAAAAAAAAACGATGTTATAATCAAAATAAGCTTTTTAGAATTTTGTAAGGTATCGGATCGGGTATCGCCTCCGGAGATTTCAAAATCGGAGGGATAATTATAATTTATAACCCATCCTTATGTTCTAAAAAAAGGTTTAATAAATTTTTTATAATTTTCCACTTATTCATAAGTGAATTAACACATTGTAATTAAAATCCTTTCTAGTCACTCTCGAAAAGGTTTAGAATAGGCATGAACCTTAAAAGAACGGTCTATTGATACTGATTTCTCTGGGTCGAATCTTCCAAAATAGGCAATGATTTCATAAGAAGCAAGATATATAAAGAAGGAGAAGGTTCACACATTCCCAAGTGAAGACATAACATATGTGTTAATATATATAAAGTATTATTCTTTTTTAAAGAATATTAACTTAGTAAGATTTAATTCAAATTTTGAAAAATCGTCAAATCGATTTCGATACATTTACATTTTCTTCTTTTTCCAAACTCTTAAATTCATTATTATTATGTCGTCTCATGATTCTTAATTGAGGCGCAGTTATTCCATTAAAGCACAATTTCGTCCAAATCCTTAGTTGTAGTGCAGTTATCTTTTGAAGATATCACAAACACACATATACACACACAAATCTTTAGTTTTTATCGAACCATAAGCATCATTTGATCAACAAAAAAGAGTAAAAAAGGCTATCCCATTTACAAACTTGGACAATAATGTAATGTTTGAATATACTGTTCTGTATTATCACACCTTCAAGTATTTTCATTAATTAGGCAAAATGAATTTTTGCTGCGGCGGATCAATATAATAATGTTAGTTTTTCCGGAAATTGTTGATCGTCTCCTTTTGGTTGCTTTCCATTGTTTCCATTGTTATTGCCGAAGCAAAGAAAAAGTGTGAAATTCTAATGAAATTCAAATAAAAAATAGATTTATTACAAATATTTTATTACAAATTCATTAGGATAGTTTTAAAAATAATTCAAGTATAAATAACCATTTCATATGGAGGAAAGAGAGCAAGCAAATGTTGAAAGTGAGATACAGGGACGTCATTTTCAACTTCCATTCGAATTCAATGATACGGACAGACTTGGACCGTGGGAAATTTTGCTCAGCGAAAGCACGATCAAAGACTTACGGGAAATGCTGTATAATGAAGACTCCAAAGATATACAAATAGAGTTGCCTCTCCCTATCGAAAAAGTCATGAAAAAACTTAGGCAGATATCATCCGGGGCGTGGAAAAAGTATGGTCTCGAGAGTAAGTCGTCATCTTACGCTATTCCTGTCTACGAAGTGGAGCTCCCTGATAACAATCTAAAAATTCTCTGGCAAGTTGACTATGGGTTCTCTATCCATAAATATACGTACATGCAACATGTAAAGGTTTGGTCTATTACGAAAAGCCAAGAAAAAATTGACATGACATTAAAAGCCCTTAAAAGAGTTCATAAGTTATTCACTTCCGAACATATTCGTCGGTGCGCAATCCAAACGATGAGCAAAGACAATTTCGTTTTACCGGAATTTTTTAAAGATAAGGGAACGAGGTTTACCAACGAAGAATTGGATAATGAGAGGCTATTAGAAGTCCATCAAATGTTTGTTACAAATAAATTTATTCCTATATCAAGGGTAAAGAACGCTTTAATTATATTGATGGATAAATTCTTTTTTTCGCGCAGGATCTGTTCAAATCGCTCATCCAGAGTGGCTCTGATTTCGCTTTTCTTGTATCCAAGACTGAATACGAGATAATCAACCATTCTAAGTCGGCAGTCGTTTTTGGTCGATCGGGTTAGTAACCTAGTTTCGGCCATTATTTATTAATGAAATCGTTATTTATTCTCTATATTCAATATTTAGGGACAGGAAAGACTACATGTATCGTATTTAGACAGCTCGCTTCATATTTGAAAAGCCAACTTTATAAGACGCCATCTTCGCATGGCTATGACGAGTATTTTTTTAAAAGGCAAATATTTATTACGTTGAATCCCATTCTATGCTTGCGAGTAAAGAAATACTTCACCCAGTTGCAAAAATCAGCGGAGCTTGCTGGAAAGAAGGTTACGAAGGCTCAGTTTATTGAGTGGAAGAAGGAATACGTCAGTTGTAAGACACTTGATGACATTAACATGCATGAAGAGGACGATGTGAAAAAAATTTTGGATGATATTCCTGATTCGTTCGTTCCATCTTTTGATGGACCATCATTTCCCATTATTCGTTACGTATGAAAAGTTTTCAGAAATGCTTCTGGGGACCTACGGTATTGACATTCGAATGTTGACCACGAAACAAAATCAAAAGCACGATGCAAATAATGATAATGATGAGGAATTCCGCTTAAGATCTTCATTTGCAAGCATGTCAAAAGCTTCGTGGGCTCACTTCGTTGACTACGATCTATTCAAAAAAAAAGTATTGGCGTCTTTACGGAAGTAAGCTGGATTGCGAGCTGGTCTCGATTATCAAGGTATGCAACTATATTAAGCCTTAGGATGTTCGATTTGACAATTAAGAAGTTTTTCAATAAATTATCTGAAGGGCACGAATATTGAGGTAGACTACCTATCAAGGGAAGAATACCGGTCCATTAGTACCAGAAATACTCAGCATTCTGTCACAATCGTGATGAGATTTATGATTTATTTGAGCGATATGAAAGGATGAAGGCGCGAAATTATGATTTTGATTCAGTAGATCGGTATATATTGAGTAATATTTTTTTAGGTTTTGAGATAGGTTAAATAGACTTTCAACTTCATTTTCGTAGAACTCTAGCCATATAACGTGCAACTAAAACGAGAACATTTGGTGGACCGCACATTCATGAAGTGTACATTGACGAATGTCAGGATAATCAGATCATAGATTACGAGCTTATCTTGAAACTTTTTGACCGCGCTGAAAGCTTTTATATGGCAGGAGATGTAGCACAATGTATTGCCCGAGGGTCTACTTTCCGATTCCGGGGTATGAACTTTTTTTTTCTTTCAAGGATAAATAATTATGTCGCCTTTCTTTAATCTCTAATTTATAATAGACTTATCCGCATTGATTTACCAATGGGATCTCAAACGAGCCATATCCAAAAATAATCAATACAATTCTTTAAAGCCAAAAGAGTTCGAACTAAACGTTAATTACCGCTCCCACAAAGGGATTCTTCAACTAGCTTCGTCAGTAATACACCTCCTTCGAGTATTATTTCCTGATTCTATTGACGAGTTGTCGCCTGAAATCAGTGAGGTTGGTGGTCCGAAACCTCTCATCATCGAGGGTTGCGAGGCTAAAACCCTTTTTGTCAATAGAAATGAAAAGGAAAATGTGTATATTGAATTGGGAGCTGGTCAGGTCATTATCGTACGTGATGAAACGGCTAAGCAACATTTGATGGGTTTAAACAGCGATATTGGATTAGTTTTGACTGTATTCGAGGCCAAAGGCATGGAGTTTAATGATGTGTTATTGTATAATTTCTTTGCTGATTCGCCCGCTCTTTTAAAAGTATGATATGAAATTTGTTTTAAACACGATATAGTCATTTATTAAAAGCTGTTCGGTTTATATATAAATTAGTGGCGAGTAATTCTCTCCGATTTGGAAGATTATTCTAAGGGAGTTCGGACATTCTCTCCCGAGAATCATTATATCCTTTCTTCGGAACTCAAACATCTCTATGTCGCCATAACCAGAGCTAGAGAGCGTCTCTGGATTTTTGATGAGGATATAAAGTTAAGTGAACCAATCCGAACATACTGGGTAAGAAAAAAACTAGTTAAAGTGACGAATGAGATCGACATCTCTACCTTGACTAAGTCAAGTAGTGCATTCGAGTGGAATAATGAGGGAAAATCATTTTTTGAGCAACGGAATTATGAACAGGTAAACTTTTAAGTTATTCAATACTGTGCAAAAAATGATCTGAGTTATTTACTAAACAATACAGAATCACCTTTAGGCTATTTTCTGCTTCGAAAAGAGTGGAAATGAAAAAGCGGAAAATTTAGCCCGTGCGTATCATCTCCAACAGATTACCAGGACTTCCTTCGTAACCGGTTCTGATGAAAAAATAGTGAGGTCCAATTTCATAACTACCACTCATGCCTTTGAAGAATGTTCCAGGTTGCCACAGGCGGCTTCATGTTATGAGGTATTACTTTTATTTTTCGAAACTTTTATGAATTATGTATAGTTTTTATGCGTAGCTTTCAAACTTAGTCTTATGTGTTTATTTGAATTAAAGTTTCATGTTGGTATTTACAAATTTATAAAACATTCAGAACATAGGCATGTATAGAAAAGCTGGAGATTTCTATTCTGAATCGCAAATTTTTGAACCTGCCGCGCGTTGTTATCTTGAGGTCAAAATGCGGAGCGTAGCAGGTGGTTATTTTGAAAAGGCAAAGCAGTACGATGATGCAGCTCTTGCCTATATAGGTGGCAGTCTTAATGATATGATAGCTGATTTGATTCAGAGGTAAGCCTAAGCAACTCGACGTATAATGTAATTCCTAGTAGTAAGAATCTTCCATTATAATAAATTAAACGTAACGCTTGTCTAAACTATTAAATAAGGCACAGACAAGATATCAACGATGATACGATTCGTAAACTCAATAACCACTTTCGCCAAGAAGCAGATATTCTTCTTTCGAATTATCAATTCGAAGAGGCTGCCGATATGCTTAACCGTTCGGTGATAATGACGAGAATATAGTTAATTCGTCACAGTACCTATTGCGTCTATGCAGAGTTATTATATTGAAAGTGATAATTGCGGACTTCACAAGCTCAAGTACCCTGCAGGAATTACGTAGGCTTCAATCAAAAGCGTCCAAGACTATCTCAAAAGTTAAAGCTCATGAACGATTGGATAGTCTGAAGGAAGAGTGTCATTTATATATTTCTTATTTTAATAAGGATCTCAATATTTATGATATGGGAGCTTTGCTATTAAAAGTGGGTTCCGAGACTATAAATTGATTTTGAGTTAAATGATGATCAAAAAATAGT